TATATATATATATATATATATATATATATATTTATATATATATATGCATGCCACAGTGTGATGCTGAAGTCAGTTCTCTCCTGCTGCTGCCTGAGTCCCAGGGACTGAAGGCAGCATGGCAGGCTCAGTAAGAACCACTCTCTGCTAAGCCTCCCACAGGCCTTTGGGGTTTTGAGTGTCACCACATAAGAGAGGCTGGCCCAGACTCTCCATCTTCCTATCTCCACCTCTTTTGTTCTTAGAGTAGAGCTGAGCATCTCCATGTTTATCCATGTTTGGCCTCAGTCATCAGTGACTTCTTATTACAATGGGTTTTTATCAGGACAGCTACATATATACTCTCCAGGGTCTTCCTGTCCCGGTCCCCTTGGGGTAGAGCACTGCTTTGAACTCTTGGTAAGAAAGACCTAAGACTGCGGACAGGATCACAGAGGCTCTGCTCCCAGGGGATCCCCTTATGTATAGGTTTGGGCTTTTCTTCCTTTTTTAAAAATTTTTATTTTATTTTGAGTCAGGTCTCACTATATAGCCCTGGCTATTCTGGTCTGGAGACCATCATACCTGGCTACCTTGTGCTTTTCTACCTGTAAAACCCTAAATATAGGCCAGCAACATGGCTCTGCCTAGAGAAGCATGTTCTGTACAAGCCAGGGGACCTGAGTTCAAGAACTGTGACCCATGTAGAAGTAGGAGAGAATGGATACAAAGCTGTCCTCTGATCTCCAAACACATGCTGCGGTATAGTCCATGGGCCACCAACCCATCTAACCACTCATTCCCCATATAATAATAATAAATAGTAAAGCCTGGAAAGATAGCTCAGCAGGTAAAGGCTCTTAATGCCAAACTGGGAGACCTGAGGTTTGGTTACTGGAATCCACAGGATGGAAGGAGAGAACAGAGTCCTAGAATTTATCCTCAATTTCCACATGTGCTGTGGCCCCAAATCCCTGATAGTAAATAAAATTCAGAATGTTAAAAGGGCCAGGCATACTGGCACACAACTTTAATCCCAGAATTCAGGAGGCAGAAGCAGATGGATCTCGGAATTCTGGTCTACAGAGAGAGTGCCAGGACAGCCAGAGCTACAGAGAAACCCTTTATAGGAAACAAACAAACACCCTGGAAGACTCTCATGGTCCCCTAGGCAACTGAAAGCTGCCGTGAGGGGGTGGGGGTGGGGGTGGGAGGAGATGAGGCCCCTCCTTACCCTTCTTTTTCCAAGATGACCTTCCTCTCATAGTCCTTCAGGTACATGGGCTTCACTTTCTCCTGCTTCCCCAAGGCTGCTGGCTCCTCCTCACTCTCTGAAGACGATGTTCCGGCTGTAGGATAGTGAGAGAGAGGACACCTGTTGTTACCTCACCTTCCCTCTGGCCCCAAGCAGAGAACTCAAGGGTCAGGGCTAGAAGCAGATGTAAGTTCTGAAACCTTGCCTACCGCTTCGAGTTGTAAAATAGTAAATCACTCTTATCCCCCCCCCGTTATTTTTCCAGGGAGGGAGTACGATATAGCCCAGGTTATACTAAAACTCACTATGTGCAAAAGAAACAAACCAAGTAACCAAACAAAATCTTTAGGTGCAGATACAGCTAAATTGATAGTGTCTGTCTAGCAAGCACAAGGCTCTGCTCAATTTCAGTTCTGCGACACATAACTGAATGTAATCCCAGCAGGGGGATCACAAGTTCAGTGATATCCTGGACTACACAGTAAGTCAGAGGCCAGGCTTGGTTACATGAGCAACTACCACAAAGAATAAAAAGCATTTCCAACTTGGCACTTTACACTCATGGATTCATAAAGAAAGTTTTTCTTTTCGTGTATGTTGATGCTAGAGGTCAACTTGCACATATAATCCCTCAAATGGCATCCATTCAGTCTCTCTCTCTGGTTTTTCTCTTTTCTTTTTTTTTAGATTTATTTATTTTTATTATTTTATTTATGAGTACACTGTCGCTGTCTTTGGACACACCAGAATAGGGCATCCAAATCTCATTACGGATGGTTGTGAGCCACCATGTGGTTGCTGGGATTTGAACTCATGACCTCTGGAAGAGCAGTCAGTGCTCTTAACCACTGAGCCATCTCTCCAGCCCCTCTCTCTGGTTTTTCAAGACAGGGTTTCACAATGTCCTGGCCTGGAACTCACTCAGTAGACCAGGCTGGCCTCAAACTCAGAGCTCCACCCACCTGTGCCTCTGGAGTGTTGGGACTAAAGTGCAGGCAGCACTGGCTGAGCCTCCCACGAGCCTCCCGAAAGCTGCCTGGCTCTGATCCCCAGCACCAACATCACCCATGTGTACCCACCAGTTTCCATCGCACGATTTCTCGGGATGAAGCTCAGGTCTTCAGGCTTTGAGTGGCAACTACTTTAACAACTCACCCCATTCCCCGCCCAACTGTTTGGTTTTTGACACAGATCTCATTATGTAGCTCAGGCTAGTCCTGAGCCCTGAGTTATCAGCCTCCTGAGCGCTGAGATTATGGGTTTAACACTGCCACTCTGGGAAGGGAAACAATTCATTCAACAATTCAATCCCATCCACACTAAGGCACTCAGAGAAGATGCCCCGCCCCACCTGTTCTCTGGTAGAAGGTAGCATCTTTCTGGTAAATTCGAGGGTCCTTCTTCTTCAGCAAGGACAGAGTCCTGTAGAAGTCTCTCTCCTGCTGGGGATCAAATTCCTAGAGCAGGAAAAGAAGTAGGGTTGACTTCAGAAGGAAGTTGGACACAGTGTAGGTAGGATGGTGACAAGATGCAGCAGGGTTGAGTGGAGGGAAGGAAGGACAAGGAGAGGAGAAGCATACACAGCACGGTATCTGGGCTGGTGTGGTCAGACAGAGGGCAGGGAGTTGACAGAGTAAAGGAAGAGTCAGGAAGAGAAGTGCAATCTCAATAGGACAGGGAGGGTAACCACGCAGGTGAGCTCAACGTGCTCTTGGGCGGACTACCAGAAAGCTCCGGCTACATAAGATTAGATTACCAACATTAGAGAGGCTGTGGGAAGGCAGTGGAGCCCCACGGGTGTAGTAGATACTTCCATGTCAGACTCCTGGGGTTTAGGAATGGAAAGGTGGTTCCTAGGGGCCCACTAATCAGGATGGTGAGGTGTCTGTGATGATGGAGGGTAAAGTGAACACAGAGAGGATACGTCAACCCCTAGGGATGGGAGGGCTCTACTGGGTTAATGCAGGATTTCTAGGAATTCTTGGAAAGTCTGGACCCACATCTGAATAGTAGTGAGAATTTTGTATCTCCAGACATTGTCACCCAATAGATAAGGGTGTAAACCTGGATGTTCTTATAGGACCCTATGAGATGAAGATAGGGAGGATTTGGTAAACCCCTAGATACAAGGAAAATGGTGCTTGTTACTCAAGGGATTTGGATGCAAGACTCCCGCTGTATATCTAAATCGGGGTACTCTAGAGGGTTGGGGCCAAGTTAGGAAAGGAGGTAAATTCAGTGACCACCTGGAAGGGGCGATCTGTCACTTAAGGGGTCAGGAGGTAAATCTAGAACATCCCCATAGGGTAAGGCACCCCTGTGCATCCAGGTGAGAGCTCAGTGGTTGGGAGGTTTGGAATCTCTTCGAGAAAGAAGGATGCATTTGGCGATCCCGGGGGGGGGGGTTGAGGAGGGTACTGCCTGTCACTCAAAGTTTGGGGGCGGGTCTTGAAGGCTCCTGGTCAACCCAGCCGGGTTAGGGAAAGCCCTATGTACATCTGGGTAGATGCCAAGCTTGGTCGCGGAAGCTCACCACATGCTCATCGCTGGAGTCAGACTCGGAACTGGAGTCGCCGCCGTCGTCCGGATCTCCATAGCGATCTTTCACTGTGGAATACACACGGAGTTCCCCATAGCCACCATCACCGGACGCACCCCCCCCCAGCTCCCCACACATGGCCTACGCAGGCGCTCCTCACTCACGGCGCTGCAGTTCCTCACGCTCGCGGTAACGGCTGTAGCGCGCAGCAAACGCTGCGTTCACCTTCAGAGACCCAGAAGCGCGCGGTTCCGGCATGGCGGCTGTGTGACCTAGCGCGCACGCGTGCGGCCGCCCCCTCCAGGGTGTGGCCTCCCTTAGGCACGCCCCCTGAGGGCTTGTCTTAAGGAGCGTCTTCTACCGACGCACCTTGCTCCACCCTTTACTCTTCCGGGATCCCGTTGGCCTTTTACTCAGCAGGCCACACCCACGGGGACCAGCCTCTGCGGGGAAAGGCCACAAGCCACCGCCCACCCTTCTCCACCCTGACGGCTCCCGGCACCCAGCTGACATCTGGGGGCCGCTTTCTCCACTCGCGGTTTCCTGCCTTTCTTCCGTTCCGACAGCACCCGACCGCTGCCCCACCCAACTCAGTTACCCTGACGCCCTGGGAATGACCGTGTCGCCCTATCACCCCACACCATCCCTAGTCTCATCCTACCCTTCCAATACCCCATCCCAGACTAAATCTGAAGTCATCCTCTTAGTTTAATGAGCCAAAACATAAAATGATCACACAGAACAATTTCTTTCCATAAAGCAATAAATATATATATTTCAAACTCTGTACAACAGACTGGAAACATTCCAAGAAAAAAAAAAAAAAAGAACTCATGTTATCCTTGTAACTGATTTGAAATGTTTTCCCCTCCCCTCCCATGCCTAAAGTAGATGGCTCACACTTCAGGGCTCTCTGAGCACAGCCTGCCAAGGTCACCAGCTTCCAGGAGTCGGGGAGGTGATGACCTCACTCTGAGGCTAAGGCTTTAAACCCCTGCTCTGTGGTCTTCTGTGCATGCCCAGTGCAGAGGAAACTGAACCGTTTAGGTGACTGTTGCCTGTAGGAGCCCCTTCTTTGTCCAACACACCAAAAAGGGGTGAGAAAAACAAATGAGAAACATCTCCCAAACACACACACACACTCAAGAAATCAACACCAATAAACCACAAACTGCTCCTCCCACTCCCTTCTTCAATGGATAGGCGTGAAAAGAGAAAGTCTCTTTCTTCCTTTGTTGACAAGTAACCCAGTAAGGCTGTAGACAGTGGCCCTGGGTCACATTGGGATCATCATGTGCCCCTGCAGAATGTCCATGAGGTTCTGAGCCCCTCTCTGTCGAGCCAACTCCAGGGGAGTGAGACCCGAAGCATCTCTGTGATAGAGATCAGATTCAGGAGCTAGGAAGCTGACCACAGAGCTATGGCCCTCTCGTATCGCCAGATGGATGGGGAGCGACCCGGTGCTGTCCAGGGCATTGACATCAGCACCATGCTCCACCAGAACCTTCAGGGTGTCCAGGAACCCAGTGCGAGCTGCATCATGCACGGGACTGGTACCAGAGGCATCTTGGACATTGGGGCTGGCACCTTGCTTCAAGAGTTCCAGAGCAACTGCTGGACTTCCAAACATCATGACCTATGGGAGTGTGGAGCAGAAAGTCAGGAGGTTCCCACGGAGAAGGGTCAGGCAGAATGAAGAGGTCTACCAGAAATCCAGAGTGCCAGAGAAGGGGTCCTTTAGTGAATGGGGACACCCCAGGAAAGTCAGGCCCCAATGGATCAGATTGGGACCCCAGAGTACAGGTTCTTTGAAAATAAGAACCCCCCCCCACCTTCAAAACCCCACCCCCACCAGAGACAGGTTTCATTCTGGCTGTCCTAGAACTCTCTCTGTGACCAGGTTGGCCTCAAATTCACAAGAGATCCACCTGCATTTGCCTCCGAGTGCTGGGACTAAAGAAAGCCTGAGCCACCACTGTGCAGCCCAAAGCTCTCTTAAGAACACACAAAAAAATTCCTAACTATAAACGTGACTCTCATGAAATCTTTAAAGGGCCATGCATAGTGACACACTCTCATAATTCCAGGACCTGACAGGCTCAGGCAGGAAGATAGTCTCAAGTTCAGAGCCAGTCTGAGATGCAGAGTGAGACTTTGTCTCAGAAATTTAAAAAAAAAAGAAAAGAAAAGAAAGAAAAGAAAATGAAGAAGCAAGAGAAGCAAAGAGAATGGAAGGGAAAGGGAACCTCGAAGGTCCAAAAGCCTTTTTCACGGAAAGAGCACTCCCATATGGGTGATCAGTAGGACTGTAAAGCCCCTCCAACACTACCATATTCTGGGAACTACATAGAATTTTTGAGAAAATAGATGCTCTAGCCAATTTGGATCCCCTTTGTCAGGAATAACTTCCTTAGACATGATCTTCAGAATGTATGAGTACCCATAAAAAGGTGGAAATTCCCTATAGATGCCACCCCAAATTATGGGGCCTTCAAGCAATAAGGAATCGTTTTTGGCACCAGGCACACAGAAGATACAAAAGGGGAAAAAAAATCGACATCACCTGCCATAATGGAGACTCCCCCTGAAATAACCTGAGACCCTTCAGAAGGACACTTCAAAAAAAAAAAATTGGCTATCTCCCGTGGAGAAGACATGCATGCCACCTTCCGGAGATCGAATGACTTTTAAGAAGCCTCAAGAAATGTGAGCTGTCTTCAAGGACTGGCACGAAGAGAAGCTGAGCCCCAATCCACCCACTGCAGCGAAACTGAATCTTCCAGGCTATTAGACAAGGAATTCTTTAAAGCTGAAAAGCCACCCCTCCCCGATCCCACCCTCACCTCCCACCCAACATTGGTGCAAGCAAGGATTAGACCTTAGGGGATCACCAACCCGGGCCAGGAGACTTGCAGGGATGGGGTGTGGGGGCTGCGTGCCAGCCAGGCCTCACCTGCAAGGCCGTCTTGCCAAAGCGGTTCAGGGCGTCAGGATGCACCAGCTCCCGGTGCAGAAGGCGGCGCACCTCTTGCACGTCGCCACGGGCCGCTGCGCCACTCAACCGGTCGCCGACGCAGACTTCTTCCAGAAGCATAGTGGATACGAGCGGTCTGTGAAACCCACCCAGCCCCAAGCCCAGTTCAGGTCAGGGCTGGGGAACCAGCAAGAGCTGGATCAGAACACTAGGGGCTGCGGTGCCACCGGGGCCAACTCTATGGTTATTCCCCGGCCGTAGACCCAGTGCCTTCTGCCGGTAAGACCCCCGGTCTCGCAGCCAGCTCCTCCCCCTGTCACCCAGAGAAGCAGCGATGAACCCCGCCCAGCCCTTCCGCGCCCGCCCCTTGGGCCGGGTCTCCCCAGACTCACCCTCCCTCCTCTCCTGGCGCGGGCGGAGTCTGATCTGAGCCGGCGCTGTACGGGCCGCCTGAGTCAGACGCTAGTAGGCGAGGCTAGCCCGCCTCAGGCCCCGCCCAGAGCGCCCTTGTTTTCTTACAAACTCGCAACACAGTAGCGCGAGCCGCTTTGCCCAGCGCCCGACCTACAGAAGTCCCGCCCACTGGAGATATCAGCCAATCAGCATGCGTTGCTGGGGAGGATTGTCTCGCCGGTAGGGGTGGTGTGGCTCCTGATTGGTCAGCGCGCAGCGACCGGTGAAACTGCCCGCCACAGCAGAGTTTTTGGTTTTTCAAAACCAACAGGCGGGCGGGCGGGAAAGAGCGGGAGGTTTAACTGACCCCAGCGGAGAGGTTGGAGACAGGCTGGCGCGGGCCGATCCTGGGTCTTTAGCGCCTCCGGGAGGAAGGGAGGCAGGACTGGAAACTCCTACAACTGGAACATTCTATTCATTCAAGTGCCACGGAAGTCCTAATAAGCCTTAACTGTGCGACCGGGAGCTTAATTGATTCGACTGCTGTGTTAAAGGGATGGCTTCTGGGCGGTAAAGTGCGGTGCCTTTTAACATTTTTGTTGGTTTTATGTTTCTGCGACAGGGTCTCTCTGTGTAGCCTCGGCTGGCCTGGAACTCACTGTGTAGATCTATCTGGACTCATTGGGATTAAAGGAATGGATTACCAAGCTGGTCTCCAATTATTTGAGAACCTGAAACATGCTCTTGTAGAGGACCAAGGATGCAGTTTCAGCACCCATGTGACAGCTTAGACACCAGTAACTCCAGCTCCAGGGACCCAACACCCTCTTCTGACCTATACCAACATGGTGCACATATAGACAATCAAACGCCCACATATTCTAACAATTTTCTTTTAAATATTTTTCTCTAAGTTTTTTCAAGACAGGATCTTACTATGTAGCTCTGGCTATCCTAGAACTCACTATGTAGGCCAGGCTGCCATTCATCTACCTGCCTTTGCCTCCCAAGTATGTGGGATTAAAGGTGTGCACCATTACATCTGGCATTTTTTTTCCTTTTATTTTTATGTGCACTGGTGTTTTGCCTGCATGCGTGTCTGTGTGAGGGTGTCAAGTCTAGAACTAGTACTACAGATAGTTGTGAGCTCCCACGTGGGTACTGGGAATTAAACCCAGGTCCTTTGGAAAAGCAAGCAGCCAGTGCTCTTAACTGTTCAGCCATCTCATCTCTCCAGCCCGACAATTTTCTTTTAAAGTTTGTTTTGTTTTGTTTTTTAAGAGTCTTATATAGTGCCAGGCAGTGGTGGCACACACCTTTAATCCCAACACTTTAATCCCAGGCAGGCGGATTTCTGAGTTTGAGGCCAGCCTGGTCTACAAAGTGACTTCCAGCACAGCCAGGGCTATACAGAGAAACCATGTCTTGGAAAAACAACAACAAAAACCCCCAAAACAAAGAGTCTCAGATAGCCCAGGCTGGTATCCAATTCCATATGTAGCCAAGGATAACACCTGAGCCTCTAGAATGCCACTCCCAAGTGTTCCTATAGACGAAGTCCATGTAGTGTTGGACATGAACCCAGGGCTTCGTGGACGAGACGAGATCACTCTGCTAACTGATCTATAAGCCGCTGCCCCTCTGCTGCCCTCTAACAATTTTTTTTATTGGGACAAGGTCTTTTATAGTCTAGGCTGCCCTCAACTTTATTACGTTTAGACTAATCTCAAACCCCTGATCACCCTGCCTTTATCTCTTGAGTGCTGGGGTTACAGGTCTGTGCCGTCATATCTATACACTAAAGACTGCTGGGGGTATTGGGGCACGCCTTTAATCCCAGCTCTAAGGAGGCAGAGGCAGGCAAATCTGAGTTCAATGAAAGCCTGGTCTACAGAGTGAGTTCCAACATAGTCAGGGGCATAGTCAGGGCTACACAGAGAAACCCTGTCTCGAAAACAGACAAAAAACAAAAATAATCCCCTCCCCTCCCCCCCAAAAAAAAAACAGACTAAAGCTAGAAACTTAAGTTGCTGAGAAAGGAATCATGGTCTAGCTCAGGCTAAGCAGCCCTTGTTGAACAGAATCATGGTCTAGCTCGGGTTAAGCAGTCCTTGTAGAACTGAGAGTTGGCTGACCAGGTCCACCGTGTGGTTCTGGGAGGGGAGTTTTACCAAGCTCCTGAGATGGCCTGCTCCCTCAGCTCACAGACATAGCTTCTGAGGTAGCCATGCACTCAGCCCATCACACACCACAGTCAAGTCCAGGAGATGTCACTGAATTTTTTCAGAGTAGTAAATGATGCGGAGGTAATAAAGAAGGCCATTAAACCCTGCAATCTTGGCACTCAGGAGTCTGAGGCAGGAGGATTAAGTTGTAGGCCAGCCTGGGCTAGATGGCCAGTTATCAAAACTCTCAAACATAATCCCAAATGTGTTGGTAGACATCTTTTATCCCAGCATTCAGGAGGCAGAGGCAGGTGGGTCTCTGAGTTCAAGGCCAGTCTGGCCTACATTGTAAGTTCCAGGACAGCCAGGGCTACACAGTAAGGATCTGCCTTTACAAAACAAAACAAAACAGGACAGAAGACAAGACTTATTCATTAAAAGACATACTGTTCTTCCATAGGACTCAAGTTTGGCTCCTAGCACCCATACCAGGCAGCTCACAGCTGCCTGTGACTGCAGCTCCAGAAGGATCTGAAGCCTCTGCAGATACCCACACAGACCTATGCACACCACATATAGGTGTTCACACATAAAATGGAAAATATTTAAAGTATTTTCCTGAAGCCAGAAAAAGTTGGCGATGTTGTGCATGTCAGTAATCTCAGCTCTTGGAAGCTACTAGCAAGCCTGAAACAAGCCTGGATTATAAGAAATCTCGTCTCAAAAATAAAAGCAAAACTAGAGAAAGCAACTGATCATAGGGTTTCATGCCTGTAATCCACATGTGGAAGACAGCGACAAGAGGAACGCTGAAAGTTAGACAGCCAGGCCCTATCTTAAAAAATCAAAATCAAAAGATATTATAAAATAGACAGTTGCTGCATATACAAAGGTCCTGAGGTTCGAAAGTGTCTAGTGCAGAATGGAAAGGGAGACTGGGAGGGCAGGAAGGCGGGCAGGCGTGGTGCGGCAAGTGCAAGACAGACCTGGGGCTGCAGTAACTTTTTAACAAGATGGGAAGGCCACCAGGATTAAGCAGGCTAATGATGTAACTGAGATTTTACAGCAACCGCCATGGCTACAGAGGGGATCAGACAGTGACAGGGAATGAGGGAAGACTGTGGAGGAGCCAGAACAGAAAAGATGGACAAGCAATCGGCAGATGCTCCTACACAAGCACTCCCGGTCATTCCCAGTCCCCAGCGTCAGCGGAGGCTCCTACACCAGCACTTACAGTCATTCTCAGTTCCTAGGGAAAAACAACACTCACAGCTGTTAGACTCATTTTAATGACACCCTAAAACCCAGATGGAGGACCAGTGGCCTCGGCTCAGCAGCTATAAAAGGTGGGCCCTAGATCTGCCCAAGGCAGTTTATTGCAAGAAGGCACTCATGGGGGAAAGGGGTATCGTGGTTTAGGCCCTCTTATAGTTCTTCATATAAAATCAGGGTGGGACAGCTCCAAGGGTGAGGGACACAGAGAAACCACCCTAGATGGCTGAAAGAGGTAAAGGGGGTTAGGTGTGGGCAGCAAGAATGTGTTAAGTCAGTGTCCTAACCCTGCACACGAGTGCGTGTATGTGCGTGTGTGCGCGCACACACACACACACACAGTTCTTTAAAGTCTGTGGCTGGAATCTGTGAGATGGAAGCCCCACTTCTTCTCACTTCTAGCTGGTACGAAGTTGATAATCTGCAGGGATAAAAATGAGCAAGGACCATCTAAGAAAGGGGAAAGGGAAGCTTTCCAACACCCACAGAATCCATCCTGGGTCCCAACACAGAGTCACCCCAGAAACACTTCACAATGCTTATTAGGGCTTATAGGCTTGGGACATGGCTCAAAAGTAGACCCACTGCCTAGAATTCCAGCTGCAGCTGGATGGTAGAACTCCTACTTATGTATAAAGCCCTGGTTTCTAGCCTGACTATCACACACAAAACAGGTTTTCTTACATCAGGATGGCTTCCACACCGACATCTCCACCTGGTAAGCCTGCCCACACCCAGACAGCATCTGGAGGTGCTAAGTGTCAACATATTGCTGGATTTTATTGTTGCCCTAGAGTGGGCCAGCCACCCCATTTTAAAGCTGTATAAGCCCAAGGAAGCCTGGTAAGGACAGTTTTGGTGCCAGACAGGCTAAAATTGAGAACTGCCCCAAACACGGCATCAAAGTCCTCAGTCCCCATGCCCTCCACCTCCTTAACCACACTGTCCCAGAGAGCCCGCCACCTTACCACCACTCTGGGTGATGTAGCGGACCCAGGGCAGGGCCTGGTACCCACTCTTCTCGATGATCTTCATGTAACGGACCTAGAAGAACATAATGTAGATTGGCCAAGGACTAGGGATGTGGTTCTGAAGTAAGCTCCCTTCTAGAGTCCCCTGGGAGTGCCTGGGATAGGGCCCCCGCCTAGCACGTGCCAGTCCCTGGATTCAATCCCCAGTATTGGGGGGGGAACGTGTATTGAGAGGGCTAGGTAAACAGTCAGAAGGGAAAGTGGTGACTTATGTCAAGGAAGCATACAGAACACACTTTAGGAAGATGCAAGCTGGGAGTCTCGGCATGAAATGGGTGAGGAGGGAAAAGAAGCAGACAGGAGAATGCAGAGGACCAGAGCTGGGGTCAAGAGAACAAGGAACAAGGGTGAGTGGGGGAAGGCAGGGGTGAATAGTGACAGGCTGGTGCTGGGGTGCATACGTAGATGTGAGAAGTGGAGAGGGAAAGCCCCAGCCTCAGAACATTAGAGGCAGCAGTCCCAGGCAGAAGACAGAGAAGAAATGGAGATCCCAGCACAGAGACACGTGACTTTCATACC